ATGGATTTTATTAAAAGGCCTTTGACTCTGTCAAACACTCCTTACTATCTGAAAAAGTATAAGAACTTCCGCTGAACCCCTGTCTTATCAATCTCTATCTAGGTCCCAATTTTTTTAAAACATAGGCCTCATAGAGAGGTCAACAATACACAGTTTTCACAGCATCGGAAGGAGCCCCTACCTATTTAATATTCTTCTAAACGACCTCGAGATACAAAGGCAATGGCTCTACAATTTGTTTGCATGTAGATATGAGGGGATTCTCCACCATAATTGCACCTGGTAATGCAGTTCTTAGAGTCTAGAAAACTGTGTGGCCTGTAATCCTAGTAAAAGTAAAGAATTAATCTTTGATAGAGTATAGCTGGTAAGAATACCTCAGGTTAAGGAACTTGTTTTGCTGGGTGTTACTTTTCAGTCTGACACCAGATTTAACATTCATGTACGTAAAGAACAAACTCACAAAAGGAAACAAGTCTCTTTATGTTCTCAGGACGCTTATTAGAAGAGAGGGGCTTGCTGTGTATGGAGCCGCTGAAGTTAAACTAACAACGAACTCAGTAGTGTTTTTTGGGCAGATGTACTTCAAGAAGCGTCGGTACATGAATCTCATATGGCATTGATATCCGCGATCTTTCAGAAAAGTAAGGTAAAAAAAAATTCTCCGCTAAAGTTATTGTGTCAGGTAGCAGCTTAGAGGAAAGTCAGCCGTACACCAAAAGTAAACACAAACCGTTTTATGAGTTCTTTTGTAAACTGGCTAACTTTTAAAAAACGAGTTAGCTCCCTGTAATTGCATTAGATTACTAATGTTATTCCATGAACTGTAGCTTGCCTGTTTTTTCTTTGTTGTTGTTGTTGTTGTTGTTGTTGTTTTCACAATACAGTGTAACTGGTGGATAACTGGAGCTATCGCAATCCGCACCGGAAGAGAAACTTATTTCTATGATATAGGCTGCTTTCTGCAGATAATCGCCCGTGTTGTCCCTACCTATTGTTGCCTACTATTGATAAGTATATACACACTCAGTGATCTTGGTGATTTAAGCAATCTGATTGGTTCGCTATCTCAGACTATTTAACAATATTCACCTTCTAGCGAATAAATGTGTGGGCTCGGTTTTTTTCCCATTTTTTTAGAGAAAGATCTTTTAAAAGTCGACAAAATCCTAGGGTTGACTTTTTTTCAGGCAAGAAAAAACTTCGAAGGATTGAAAACGGCGTTTTTCCATAAATGTAGTTGAGTTTTATGGTCGATGGATTGTTTACAACTCCCGTTTATTAGCCTAGAAGAGGCCGTTTCGTGAACTCACCGTTTCCTAACAAGAAAAATTTGGCCCAAAAACGAAGTTTATTTGTGACAAACAAATTTGAAGGAAATGTTTGCAGAAAATTCTACCTTTCAAGTAAATGGGAGAAAGAATGCTACATGAAGACGACGTTTTAACCTCCAGGAACCGAATCGCCATTTTTGTCAGCACTTCAAGAGAACGACACAACAAACCTTTTGGGCTATAAACTTGGCGAGTCAAAAGAAAACAACAAAGCTCTTCTTTTCTTCTCAGGTAAGGAAACAATTCAAACTTTTAGCGTTTCCATTTAAGTCATTACGCTGTTGTTTGCGAAGTGATAACCTTGTGAAATGCCACTTTTGAAAATTCTACAAAGATCTATTTTTAAACTCTCGCGTGTCTAGCTGACCTGATCTGTCAATCAAATCGTACTTTTAATGGTTTCCTCTCTGATTTTGCAGAGATCACTTCGTGTGTATATACTAAAACAATTATTCTTTTCAATTTCGGTGAATAGTGGCTTTAGGAATATTTACCTCCCCACTTCGTGGCTCGGTAAATATTTAGCCACTATTCACCTCGATTTCAAAGAATAATTGTTAACTGTTTCTATATGATCTATCACCTATCACTTTCTGTTGTGTTTACATAAAGGGTTAAGAAAGACTTCGCACTGTTTTTCTTTCTCCATTATATATATATATATATATATATATATATATATATATATATATATATATATACATATGGCTTTTTGTTAATCGATCTAAACCCGAAGCAGTGACCCACTCGAAAGCCCGAGCTACTGTGGTCACTGTTCACCATTTATGTAAGTTGTTGCTCTTCTTTTTTTCCTGTTCTAATATTTTATTGTAATGTAATAGAAACATCTTGCAATAGTGCAAAATTAAAACAATTTGATTCTTGAAGCTATCTCCCCTGTTTTAGCAAATTAAAGTGCATTTGCCAGAGTAATCGGTTCTGGTTCTCCCTTCAGGGGCGCCCAAGGACCGAAAGTTTCCAAGCACGCCAGAAGTACCTTTATATGCTTTTCTCTTTAGAAGCAATGCTTGGTTGACTTTGGTTGAAGCTGCCCTAAAAACTATTATCTGCTTGGATGTCGTAAATGCGATTTTATTCTCCACCGAAACTGTTAGCTATATCCTGATTGGTCCCGTCGAGAGTTGGAGGACATCAGAGCAGCCTTTCATTATTAGTCACAGAATAGAAATCCTGGGTTACGCTTCTATACCATAGGAATACATCGGATTACACGTATTCACGAATTCCCCAATTACGCAACACCCGCTTGAACTTTGATTTCAATGACAAATTCACATGGCTTGATATTTGCAGTTCACAATATCACGTTTGATGTATTCCGTGATCTTGGCACATTGTGACTTTCCACCAGTTGCTGTCTAAATTTAACTCTGGTCATGCTACGTCGCGTTTAATTGTTAGCATCTCCGAACTCGAGATCTTTCTACGGTGGTACGCCCCATTCTTTTTAGAAGTATGCAGTTGCGTCTGAGGTTCTAATTATAATTGGGATAAGAACCTCGCCTTGGTCGAAGCAAGTAGATTCTTTCATTTAGTACATTTTCTTCGACAACGGGCATCAGGCCACAGGTATTTTTTGTTTAGAAATAATTGATTTCGCGTGACTGTACCGTCTGTCTAGACTGATTTTCTCGTCTCTAACACTAACATTGTATATTGCCATGTTTGTTTCAGGAGAAACATAAAAAGGAACGCGAACTCTGATCTGTGCTGGCCTTACCAGCGTTTTTCAGGGATGAATTGATTTTTATTTCGAACTATCAACTAAACGACCCTAAAGCTGCCCAATTTTTGAGATAAGCGACGAACATTCTTGCACGTGGGGAAGGTAAATTAAACGATAATTTTGCTGTCTTAGCATATTTTTAGGTTCTGATCGTAGGATAGTATAGTTTCTCCTAAGGAACGAGATTTAACAAAAAGGGTGTTAAAACCTGAGCAATCTCAAAATTCTTCTTCTCAGTATATTGATCAGTTGTTAGCCTTTAATCAAATGCTGTTGGCGAGTGTCCTAGCATATAAAGGCAATATTGTTTTTTGCTTTCCAGACAAGCGACCGATTCGTGGCTTCTTCTCCTGGTCTTTCTTGAGGCTGCACGACTTTTAGAAGGAAATGATTATTCTTTTGAAAAAAAAATCATATTGATGACTAGTGTTAATGTTTAATTCTAGATTTACATCAAATCTCTTCTTAGTTGTTAAATTAATGCAAATGGCAATGTTCCCGCATCGGTACCCAGACACGATTAAGTTGTATTTGGTTCCTAACTTGACTATGTTTCGTTGAGGATTAATGAAACTTGAGATAGTTGTCAATTTGTTTGTTATTGAAGAGAGTCATGAGAAGAACTGAGTATCAGGGAAATGAAATCGGAGTTTAAAGGGAAAGTTACAATTTGCATATCAAAAGTGAAACAGGAAGTTTGGTTTGAAATGCAATCCTTTCATGTCTCTTTATATTCCGAGAATTAGTTCAGATGATCCAAAAAGCTTGCCTCCTTTTTCCCCTCAGACGTCAGTTTTAGTTGTCGCGAACCGAATAATTGACGTTGTCGATCAAATCGCGACGGGGCCGAAATTTTGCTAAGTGTGAAACTCAGCCGACATCGCTTGCTTGAGGACATTAATTAAAAACTGACTTTAATTTCGTTTGTTTTTTGTTCACTTCATTTTCAAAACACCATGCAAGGTAAATTTCCTGCTTACGGGGTTTAGGTTTCCATATAAATTATAAATTCCTCAGAATGTTGCGCATCTACTTACTTGTTATCAATGTTAAGCAATTACTCATTCCTTATATTAGACTTGCACAAAGTCCTGCGCAGTCGCGCGTGTCAGTTTGCTCTCGCCGCTCGCCCTAGAGTTTAAATGTTTCACCGTTTTACTGATAGAATTAATAGAGGTTGACTTGGTCTGAAGTCTATACTCTTTCCTAGCTACAATCCTGGACAAACGTCCACGGGATAGAGAGGGGCTAGACATGTGTGATTTAAAGAAAGCCCCACGTATGCAAATGTATCGCAGGCCGTTTGCCCATGATGCGGTAGCTTTCGATAGCTTGTTAACCAGTGTTAAGCTACCATGACAAGAGTGTAGAAATATTCCGTATTTTACCAACTTAATCTGCATCATCATTTTGTAATCAACATATTCAGCAGTTGTACTATTCATTTCTTTGACCAAAATGAGCCACTAATTTGAAGACAGTGGTTATTACGTCGGGGAAAAATTGGCATGGGCGATTTAGTGGCAAGAAACCTTTAACTTCACCAGAATATGTTTAAGGTTTCGCAGTGAGAACAAAGCCGTGATTTGCCTTTTTTTATCTTGATACAAAGAACATTCATTTCCACTTAGTGATTCCTTTTCAATTTTATTGTCCTAGGAGTTGACTGATCTTGAGTGACTGGTCAGACGGTCGAGCAGAAGGTGCAACAGTTCGCTAAGAAAAGGGCCCTGCAGAGATACTCTGGGGGTTAGGGGTAAGTGTTAAAAACAAATATTCTATTTAGAACTCACTGGCACTCTGCGTAATTCACGTTGAGACTTAATATAATGTCATTCTTATTTTTTAAATCTGCACATATCGTTCTGTGTAGTCACAATTCATACAAAGCCGTTGTTAAAAGATAGTTTTAGAAGGTTATTTGTTATTTGAGAACAAATTCCAACTTAAGGCTTCAGTGAAAAATAGAGCATATAACATTAGCGAAAACTTGGTCCCTTTTTTGCTTATAGAGTCTAAATAATGTCTTTCAGGTTTACTCTGATGGCTTCTGCTCCAACATTAGCTCCATCAACTAAGGAGACCACTAATTACGCAAGATTATGCCGCCTTTTAGTAGATGGAGGCACAAAGGCCTTAAAACACACTTTTGACAGACTCCACTCTCCAGCAAACCTGTTTAATGTTTTGAAAGCTGGTTCTGCGGAACATTCAACTCTGCAGTCCCTTAAAAGGAAGAGAATCATCAATGCTACACAATGGGGTAAGCTGTATCCCTCTCCTCCTTCATCTGTAACATCAGAAGACTTTGACATCACCTTACTGATGGTGCTACTGAGGAACATCTGTGGTCTGACTGCTCCTAGCACAGGCTGGGATAGTCTGCCACCTGCTTCAGACACCAGTGTTGAGGCTAACATAGCCAGAGTAAAGTACTATAGGAACTCGGTCTATGGGCATGCCAGCCAGGCGTCTGTGGACAATCCAACATTTAATTCCTTGTGGCAGGGTGTGAGTGCCGCACTGGTTGTACTGGGTTTAGATGCAGCTGCTATCACAAAACTAAAAACTGAGACTATGGATCCAGATGCAGAGAAGCATTACCGAGAGCTGTTAAAAGAATGGAAGAAAGACGAAGATAATTTTAAGGACCAACTTGATAGAATGGAAGGTATTAACTAATAAAGGTTTTCAAGTGTTTTCTATTAATAGTATTTAAAAATAGGCTTTTCTTCTTTCTGAGCTTAAATTTACTAAAAGATTATAATAAGGTGTTAGTGGGGCTGAAATGAAAGCTTGGGATTACACAAAGTAAACCTTTTCCTTACAAAAACACATTTAACAAACATAAACCGACTTATCAAGAACTAAAAACAGGTTCAATTTTACTTCTTACGGCTGTGGTTCTGACTAATCGAGTTGCAGTGATGTGAACTTTACGCAAAAAAGCACAAAAGTAGTTGTTTATTTAAACAAAATTTGCTTGCAACAAATAAAGTGGGCACGAATAGCAGGTGAGTTAGTAATTTAACAATTATTGGATCTGCTTTCGTATGATCTGAAGAATTAGGCAATTTATCTAGGTGGATAACACCCTCCGAGATCTGCAGAATTCTTTAGATCATGCTCAGCGTCATTCAATAATTGCTAATTATCTCTGCTGACAAGTTGGATACTGATTTTTGATGTTTACTGATCTTTTTAGGTAAACTTAGAGAGCAGATGAAAAGTGAAATGGGAAACATGAGCGAGAAGCTGGAGGCCATGAGAAATTCCGTTGCTGAGGATGGAGGTCAGTTTCCAAAAAAATGAAGCTAAATTATTAATTCTTCAAGTCAGGCTAACTTTTAATAATGTTTTTTTTATAACAAGAAATTTCAAATTTTATGACTTTTTAACTTTGCTGTGAGAAACAAACCATACCATTTTTTCTCTTTAGGTAAAATCAGAGAACAGATGAGAAGCGAAATGGAAAATATTAGCGGGAAGATAACTGAGGAAGGAGGTCAGTTCAGAATGTTAATTCCAACTTCCATAACTTGGAAACCCTCTCTTTTGATTACTATGTATAATACTTTGATATAAAATTCCATTCAATTAGCTTTCACTGAATAAATATGATTGCGTGTATGGAGAAGACTGCCACTGAGAAGCTTGATAATCTTTGAACTGCAACAAACTTTTAATGGGCGTCTGGAAAATCAGGAACCCGGAGACCGGAAAAGGAACAGGAATAGGAAAAAGAACCGGAACAGGAACGGGTATAGGACACAAAATAACAATCGAGAACCGACATGAGCCGGACAGAGAAGTCATTTATCTTGATTGAACTTAATTCTCATAACTTTTAACTTAATTATACAATAAGAAAGAAAAATACTGCCCTAAAAGTAACATATTTATACGTAGAAATATTTATCGCTGCAACCAGTTGCAAAAAATTAATGTTGAGACACTCTCATGAAAAAACGACCTTTCTTGCTGAAAATCGCTCCTGGCCACAGGGCTGTGCGATATAATACTGACCTCCCTCCTCCCTCCCATTAAAAGTTGTTCCTGTAAGTTTTGAGTATGGTCTTCTATTGCAAGCAACTTTGATAATGGGTGGAGGAGGGATCACAAGCACAAGATCATGGACGGGCTATTTGTGCCAAAATACGGTTTAATGTCTCAAGTACTTTTGCAACTTGTTGTGGCTTCAATAAGGAGATCTTACACGAGGCGATTTGCAACGACGAATTTTCGGGTAACAATGTTGTGACAATGTTGCGACAACTCAAAACATTTTCGGAACATTTTTATAACACTCAAAATCGTGGTTGTGAATCACCCCGTGCAGTATCACCTTTAGTCTGCTATCCTTTCCTTCCTTTATCTCTATACGTCACTTGCAGAAAGGGAGGGACAATACATGTATTTTAAGTGTTGGATCACGTGTAAACGAGACGCTTAGTGGCGTACATTGTACGGTAATGTAACATAAAGTTTACCAGAAGAGACAGCAGAAGCTTTAAGAAGGTGGTAACCCCCCGTCTCATTCCAAATAAGGGCACCAGCCCAACCTCTGGCCTCATTCAACTGACTGCATTGGTGGTGGAAATGAAAACGTGTCACGTGTTAAAAGTAGAAAAAGGTTAATTAGATTCACTTTGCAGTTAATACGTTTAAATCTTGCGACCCTGAAAATCTTTAAAAAGTTGCATTTCACCGGAGTTTCCACCTCGTCCGCTCGTTATATTTCGTCCACAATGCAAATATACAGCTAAAAAGGTTGAAATCATACCATAGATGAGTTTTAGATTCTCTCACAAGCCCGATTTGTCTCACCAGTACCTGTTCCCTATTGTAATAGTATATCTCAAATCACATTTCCTTCTTTCAAAATCCAACGTACAATCGCGGGGGTAGCTTTATTAATTTACATGTGTGGTCGTTTAAAAAATTCGCGTAGGTAGAAAACGAACTGAAGACCAGCTCGTAATCAATTGAAAGAAAAAAACCATCTTGAGCTGAAATGGAGGCGCCGTCGTCAGTATCTGAAGGCTAGAAGAGGGGTGGAGTCTCCCCGCGGTCGATTCTTTTGATATCAACTCTTGGTCATTATTGCTACTTGTTCTTATTGAGTAATTTACTAAAAACCTCCTCTGTTTTTGTAGGTAGCTACACTTTATGTCCTATCTCCAGGCAGAATATGATCGTTTATTTCGTCTTATTTCTTCCTACCCTTAGCCGTTCCTCTATTCCCTTTTCTATTCCGGTTCCGGTTCCGGTCGCCATTCCCTTTGTTGTTCTGAATTTCGGATACATGTCCATTTCCCGGTTTTCCAGACACCCACTTTAAATTGTCCTCAATGCAAGTGTAATTCTGCTAAGTATAGTCTTCCTGACAGATAGAACAAGAAAGGACTTGAGGCAGATGAAAAGTGACATCAGTGAGACGCTGAAGACTTTGGTTTCTGCGACCAAAGAGGAAGGTCAGTTTCCCCACACTGTAGCCCGCTGGAAATTAAGTATCCCTTTAAAATAACTGTTAAAAACCAAGTATTGCTAACCAATCAGTGATCATTTGTCGTACAAGTGTCGCTCTCGGGCTCTCGCGTCCCAAAAAACAATTTTTTATCCAAAGAGGACCCAAAGTGCTTCAACTTATATTTATTTGCCTTTAATTAAAATTGTAATTCTCTCAGCTCGTGGGACGACGAATGACATATCTTGAACTAGAAACAAACACCCGAGACTGTTTATAGTCCGTTTTTTTTCCCGTAAGATCGTGGCGTTGGCGCCAGCTATACCAGTAGCCTGCGTGGCAGGCGCTAAAGGGGGAAGGGGGAGAAGTAGAAAAGCGCCCCTTCCTCCTAATCACCTACCTCTTTCGATGCCTGATACGCAGGCTACCCACTAGAATGGTGTTTTTCAGCAAGTGTTTTTATTTCGCGGAAGTAGATTTATTTGCATCACGGTCCCTTATGGGCCACCGTAGGTGCTTGCCCCAGTTGAAAAAATAGATGGAGGTTTTAAGAACTCTATCAACCACATGGTAAAAAAGGGAACTGTGATTTCTCAAACACTCTAACATAAAGTTCATAACCAGTAGTCCATTTCCCTTGTTTCTCGCAAATTCAATGGTCTGCTAAAAGGCTGCCGTTAAATCAAAAAGATTGCCTTTACCATCTTTAATTTCCCTATTGAACCCCGCCCCCCTCCCCCACCCATCTCCACTAGTTTTGTTTAGCAAGTCGTCTTTTCAAGGCATGTTTATAGGAGTAGTTCTACTCATTTGTTTTACGGACTTGGAAGGTATATCCACAACAAAGCTTGGTTCTCACTTATTCTCAACAGTTGGTTTGGTTGCCGAGTATATTGAAATCATTCGTCAGAAGTACAAACGTCATGAGGGATGGTTTGCGCCATTTCCTTGGTGCGAAGATTTTCAGTTTCATCTTAACGATATTTACACACGGCTTCTGGTGGTCAGCAGAGAAAAAAAAGCGAGAGCAACAGCGGAGCCAAGAATTGTTGAAACGACTGAAATCTTCAAACCACACAAAGAATGTAGACAACCTAGAAAAGTATTGATTGAAGGAATGCCAGGTATGGGGAAGACGACATACTGCAATAAGGTTGCTTACGACTGGGCTATAAGCATGAAAAACGAAGGAGATTGCTTTCCAGAATTTGAGATGGTGCTCTTGCTGAAATGCCGTGATGTCGAGATTGGGGCCGACCTTTGGGAAGCCATTGACGATCAGCTTTTGCCAAGTGAAATTCACCCAAAGGAAAGAGACAAATTCTTCGAATTCATTCGGCAAAATCAATCGAAGGTTCTACTGATACTTGACGGATTGGACGAGTTACCTTCGAGCAAGCTGCCGGAGTTTACTGACATTATACAAGGTAAAATGCTTCCTCTATGTCACCTTGTGGTTACAGCGCGACACAAGGTGGGGATACCTATGAGAAAGGTTTGTGACACTTTGCTAGAGATTGAAGGTTTCACTTATCAAGATAGCAAAAAATTTATTCACAAATATTTTGCCGGCAAGGAAGATTTGGCGAAAAAGCTCCTGGATAAAATACGGAATGAAGAAAGGCTTGAAGAGATGACGGCGAACCCATTAAACACTGCACTGCTTTGTCTTCTTTGTGAAGACTTCCAAGGTATCTTACCTGAAATCAGAACTCAGTTGTACTTGGAAATAGTACAATGTGTTCTTATTAGATACAGGAAAAAGAAAGGTATACCAGTCGAAAATGAGGATCTGATTGAAATCTACAAAGATGAGTTGAAACTCCTTGGCTTAATAGCTTTAAACGGCCTGTATGAAGACAACATGTACTTTGCGGACAAAAAGCTTGCCGACTTACCTGGATTTGGATTTCTATCAGCTCAACCTGGAAGCAGCAAACGAAGACCGTGTATGTGCTACGGCTTTATGCATAAGAGTTTTCAAGAATTCTTCGCGGCACATTATCTTTGTTGCCAACTTGTTAGCAAAGAAACCAGTCCTGAAATATTGGTGACTGACACAAGATATTTCGGAGAGCTGAGAGAGGTATTGAAATTTACCTGTGGTCTCCTAGCAGTAAGATCCAAAGAAATTGCAATAGCTCTTGTCATCAGTATAGCGAATAACTTAAAGAACCAATACGTGAAAAAATGTTTTCCTGTTGCAGTGGATTGCATTAAAGAAAGCAAAATTGAAAGCAGTAATTTTCACATGGAACTGGCCCGTACCTTTGGCGCATGTCTGGCACTTCAACAGGGTGAGATCATACTTGGAGGTATAGATGACGCTGCTGCTGCTGTGATTGCTGCCGTGCTTGAAGCAAACACAACTCTGACAAATTTGGATTTGTCTGAAAACAAGCTTGGTCCTGCCGGTGCGGAGTCACTTGCTACAGCGCTAAAAACAAACACAACTCTGAAAAATTTAACTTTGTCTCACAATAACGTTGGTTCTGCCGGTGCGGAGTCACTTGCTACAGCGCTAAAAACAAACACAACTCTGACAAATTTGGATTTGTATTACAATAACGTTGGTCCTGCCGGTGCGGAGTCACTTGCTACAGCGCTAAAAACAAACGCAACTCTGACGAATTTGGATTTGTCTCTCAATTCCGTTCGTTCTGCCGGTGCGGAGTCACTTGCTACAGCGCTAAAAACAAACACAACTCTGACAAATTTGAATTTGTGTGAAAATAACCTTGGTCTTGCCGGTGCGGAGTCACTTGCTACAGCGCTAAAAACAAACGCAACTCTGCCAAATTTGAATTTGTCTCGCAATGACGTTGGTCCTGCCGGTACGGAGTCACTTGCTACAGCGCTTAAAACAAACACAACTCTGACAAATTTGGATTTGTCTGAAAACAACCTTGGTCCTGCCGGTGCGGAGTCACTTGCTACAGCGCTAAAAACAAACACAACTCTGACAAATTTGGATTTGTCTCAAAACACCCTTTTTCCTCTTGGTGCGGAGTCACTTGCTACAGCGCTAAAAACAAACACAACTCTGACAAATTTGAATTTGTGTCTCAATTACGTTGGTCCTGCCGGTGCGGAGTCACTTGCTACAGTGCTAAAAACGAACACAACTCTGACAAATTTGAATTTGTGTCTCAATCACGTTGGTCCTGCCGGTGCGGAGTCACTTGCTACAGCGCTTAAAACAAACACAACTCTGACAAATTTGGATTTGTCTCAAAACTACCTTGGTCCTGCTGGTGCGGAGTCACTTGCTACAGCGCTAAAAACAAACACAACTCTGACAAATTTGGATTTGTCTTAAAAGCACCTTGGTCCTGCCGGTGCGGAGTCACTTGCTACAGCGCTAAAAACAAACACAACTCTGACAAATTTGAAATTTGCGTTTTAATAACCTTAGTTCTGATAGCGCTGAATTTCTTGCTAAAGCGCTTGAAGCAAACACGACTCTGAAAATGTTATTGTGGTGGCATTTAATTTAATAATGACATCAGTGTATCTGTTCAAAAAACACAATTTATAATGCACACCGTAATCGTATACCACATTAAAAGTTTAAAATTTCGTTCAGTTTTCTCTTTCTCTGTATTTCATTGCCTTTTTAGGAAATTAGCAAATTTAAAAAATACTAGTTACTCACAGTCTCATTTTCTTTCTTTTTTTTTCTTTTGCGCTATTTGTAAAACTCACCACGTTCTTTCAACGTAAATGGATTTTTTCAGTTTAAGAAAATCACGCACCGCTCAGTCTAGTTTCGTAGTTAGAGCCTGGCAAGAAGGTAGTTCATGCAATGATATATAGAAACAATTCAGTTATTGAACAAAGGAATTAGCCTGGATTTTAGCCGTTTTCTCCGCCCGCTCACTCGAGACTGCTGAGATTCAGGCTAACAAAGGAATGTAATCAAAATATATGTACATAGACGGCTGTCCTTAAAATTCTTTTGTTGTTCATTTTTCAAGCCGAGCGATTTTTGCGAAAAGTGCCAAATGAAATATTTCTGCTTTAACAGTTCTCTTGCCGTTTGTAATGCATTTTTTCATTAATCATGTAATGTGTAACAGTAAACACTGAGTCTTGTAATTTTGTACTTGTTGAATTCAAGTTTTTAGAACTTGTGGATTAGCGTAAATAGACTATGTTATGTGGAGAATCTGCATGGGGATGATCGGATATTAATCATCAGTCAGACTTTCAGCTATATTTTAGCCATCTGTTAATATTTGTACCTCAGAATTCGGCTGTATAAAGATTAATAACAAATCGTTTCATCAATTTCTCAGCTGACAGTTAAAATAATGGGTAATTTTCAGCTCTCAGTCAAATCCCGTCCAGATCCTCTATGTAACTAGTAACTAACTACATTGTATAGAAGACTGAAACAAGCTTTGCTGACACTTGTACTTTTAAAATGTCCATTGTTTCAGTTTAAGGTTTGTTGGCATGCAGTGCGAATCGTACATTCTGGGAGACACTTGTGACAAGTCTGTGTCAATTTTCCGTCGTAACAAGCATATATTAGTCATTGCAGCTGATCGAAACTTTTAGGTAAATGAAAGTATTGTGTAGTATTAGTAAGAAAAACGTGTGCTTGTTTCGTTATTAATCCCACCTTAATTTCATATATATCGTGCATAAAAAAGATATTTACAAAAAAGTACTGGTGTTGTCGCTATGACGAATGTTCAAAAAATAAACAAAAAAAAAATATCACTAGTGGAGACACGGCTTAAATGTTGCATATTCGTCCATTTTGGATTAATCCTCAGTTTGTTTGGGTAAGTGGTTGTTGCTACAACGGTAATTGTGATAACGTGATGGGTGGACTTAGTTGAGTGCACTTAATATGATTTGCTAATGTAACTATCCGATTACAGGCAACTGTCTGACTACAACCACGCACAATGATTAAATAAAAATGAAGCAGTTAATGCACCAATCAAATCTGAGGAAATTGTAATGGTTATGATTAGTAATTTGTTTCAAATTTGAGGGTTCTTTTAAAACGACAGCCTAACTGGCAAAATTTTATAGTTGTGGTATGCTGGGTGTCAGCCCATCCCTTTTTTGTTTATCCATGTCAATGAGGTCAGATAGGGATTTTGCATTTGGTCTTCTCTTCTTCTTCACCATGGTGCTTTTAATACGAAGCTTTTTTCTTCTAATTAGGATCATATTAACAGTCCTTTACTCTGATTGATTTATTGACGGATGAAGAACACTAAGAAGTGAAGTTGTTATAACACAACCACCAACTCCTTTCCACAGCAGGAACAGAATGCACAGGGATAGAAAATAAACATGAGAAACTGATTGAAGCTTAGTTTGATTTCCTTACTGAGTTTCATGTTACAGCTCTGGTGATCCCTCCAGAACTTTACACCTCCAAAACAAGTATAACAGCTGTTTTTTTTTTTAACATTAAAGGACCAGTCAAAAATTTTACAAACCAACATATTTCTGTGTTACTTTGGCCATATGATTAGACACGTAAAATCCCAGAGAATACCTAATTGAGCCACTAGTGAGTGAGTGTTTGCCTAAGGTCAAAACTGAAATCATTGAGGTTCATATTTCCTACCATTTTGGTTTCATTTTATCCACAGTTGCTAACGTTATAATATGTTTATTACTCAGCTCCGCTTTCATGCTATCTTTGTGACGTGGCTAGTGGCAACGTCCCACTATCTCCCACTGACTTAGGCAAACACTGACAACATTGTGTTTTATATCCCCTTTATTTTGGTTTGGTTTATTCACAGTTTATTAATAAAAGAGCTACTGGAAAGAAGCTTTATTTCGCAGCCTCGTTTTCATGTTAGATTCGTCACGTGACTAATGTCGTATTCCATTGACTTAGGCTAACACTGGAAACATTGAGTTGTATGTCTCCCGTTATTTTGGTTTCGTTTTATCCACAGTTAAGGAAGGTATAAGAAGTTTTATTTCTCAGCCTCCTGCTAGCTTTGTCACGTGACTAGTGAAGAGTCCTATTGGCTATGAGCTGCTATGAGAAAAAACTGACAACATCGAGTTTTACATCTCCTGTTATTTTGGCGTCATTTTACCCACGTTTTGTAAAGTTTTGAGACATTTTATTTCCCAGCCTTGTTTTCATACATAGTCTGTTTAGTTAACTTTTAAGCCCCCCTGAAAAGCCTCGGTGCGGGTTACAAAACCGGCAACTAGATTTTTCTTGTTACTCGAGGTCTTCTTAATACCTCTAGACCAGTTGCTTGCTTTCAGCACGAACTTCCCACCGAAGTACAAATGCTGCCAGACTATTACGGGGAGCAATCTTGCATGAGTGTGAAAACTGCTTAGCGGGCGGGGGCGGTTTGGGAGGAAGCGAGAAAAATCCCCCCTTCCCCTACAGCTATAATCCCCGACGCCCACCCCCCCCGGTACATTTGAAAATCAAGATGTCCTCCATTAACAGTAAGACGCGCTATATTTCGACGATCTCACGAAAAAATAGGGGACTGTGAACGGGTTAATTTCGCTCAGGATAGGCTATTTTGATTGATGACTTCGATGACTCAGAAGCTGCAAAAGCCAAAATCTTGAGTGACGCTCGATTTAGCCCAGAGAAAGACTCGCCATTACATTGCTTAAACCGTTTAAAAGAGCTTTAAGCAACTTTACGTCGAGTGATAAAGCCTTCCAGCACTTAGCACTTTAAACTGAGACCATCAGCTTTTTCTCCATTCTATTCCGCTCAGGATAGGCTATTTTGTTTGACAATTTCGGTAAATCAGAAGCTACAACAGCCAACATCTTGAGCGGACACTCGTTATGAAACAGCGAAGGACTCGTCGTGACATTGCTCAAACAGGACAGTTGAGTAGAGCTTTCAGCAAACTTTAAGTTTGAGTGATAAAGCCTTCCAGCAGTTGAAACTTTAAACTTTGACCATCGGCGTTTTCCACACTCCATTCGGCTCAGGATAGGCAATTTTCCTTGATGACTTCGATGAATCAGAAGCCGCAAAAGCCAAAAACATGAGTGACGCTCAATTAGAAATAACGAAAGACTCGTCATGACATTCCTCAAAACAACGGAGTTGAGTGGAAGTTTCTACAACTTTACGGGGCGTGATAAAGCCTTCCAGCGGTGAACGCTTTAAACTGTGGCTATCGGCGTTTTTTCCATTCTATTCCGCTCAGAAAATTTTTTTTGTTTGATGACTTCTCTAAATCAGAGGCCGCAAAAGCTGCAAAACGTTAACGACACTCGTTTTCAAACATCGTGAGACTTGCCATGACATTCCCCGCGGCTGCATGATATTTATCGTTAAAATAATACTAAATCTTCTTTGTTTTGGTCATGACATTTGCTTGAAAGGCCGGCTATATACCTTCTCAACATTCTCGGCATTCAGGATACATAATTCCGTTAGCCTGTACTGGTGGGTGAAAATAACGAGGAAACCAAACAACATCGGGCGTCCATCTTGGTGCTTCGCGCCACAACTCTGATGTGCGCTAGCTTGCGCTACTGGAGTCATGGCCCCCACCCCCCCCCCCCCCCCCCCCACCCCCCATGGTCATATTTTAATAATACTATTTCCAGAATCTTTTTCGTGATTCCTGTAATGCATATAGCCTGCATGACAGGCGCTCTATGAGCCAAGCGGGGCGAACGCGATATTTCGTGCGGAGCGCGACATGAGCGCGAAGCGCGAGACGAGGGAAAGAGACAACAACAACAACAACCTCTTCCCCAGGGCTTTTCCTTTAAAAAATGGGTGGGGCGGGAAAAGGCCCTGGCATCGGCTGGTCACGTGTCTTTATTAAATATTCATATGATCGGTAATGTATGAATTCCTGCGGTCAATTCTGCATCCTCATTGGTTGACGGCTCTTCAGAAAAATACATTAGTCTATTCACTTGTGATTAATTTTTCCGGGAGGTGGAGGAAATCTCCCGCGAAACTAGCCATTCTGGCTGCGTAGAAAGAGCAAAATTCTGAAAATTGACGGGAATCAACTCCTAAAGAGGTTCATCCTCGAAATTTAATTTGCCGGTTTTGCTGCGAAGCATTTGAGAGCCGTCACTTGACTCGTGTTTTCGGTAGAGCGAGTTAAAGGAAGGCAGTAAGGGAGATCTTTCCTCAAAGATTCGAAGTTTGTGGAATTGACATAACTGAAAGTGTTTCCCTCTCGACGCTTATATGCAGGAAGTGCCATGGATTTGTGTCCAAGGCGAGTGACTTCAGACAAAGGTGTATGCAAATGCAAATACAGCTGGAACAACTGTGTTTAGTGAAGCGTTGTGTAGAGCTCTCCCCGTCGTGCAAGCCGCCTTCAAAGCGCTCAACCAGCGAGCTCCGTCGTTTCGCGGAAAGCTCCTCCGAGCAACTCAACTTCGGAGAGGCTCCAGCTCAAGCCATACAACGAGAACCCATGAAAGAGGCTAATCCATCGTTTTTGCCTCTAGCATCTGTTCTTCAGGATGACACACCTTCGCTACCCGACGCTTCCAAACTCATCGATGGTGACACTGAAGAATTCATTCGGGTAACAAAAACAACACAACCAGCCGTCATTGCCGATGTCATAAAGCAACGTTCCCCGAGTGTGATTGCAGCACTAAAATTGACCATCAAAGATGAAATAGCCGCAGCTTGTCAAACGTTATGCCGACGCTCCGATGGCTCGGTTTTATATAGCAACAGCAACAGCTTCGAGACTTTGAAGGGATTTGATTTTGATCGCGTTTGGACAGAAATGAAAAGTATTGTGCCTTTTTTCATAGAGATCATGAATGCCGTGTCTGGAAAGAACTTAGGAATGGAAAACACAGAGCTTGATGTGCGTGTCAAGTTCTGCTTTCTCTACTCGGTTGTTATGAACGAAAGATGGCATGAGCTGAGTCTGTTGAAACGCTTTTTTTTAAGAAAAAAATTTTCATAGCCCACCCCCCCTCCCCCCCGTACTTTATGACTGGTCCCCAGGCCCGTAGCAGGGGGAGGGGCAGGGGGGGCTCGAGCCCCCCCAGAAATTTTCAGACTTGAATTAAATTCTGCTACAAAAGTGGAATTTTTCTACTAAAATGGACAGCTGTCAATGGAAGCTAAAGTTTCAAAGTATTGTTGATCATAGTAAGATTATGTACTGTTGTTCTTCTGTGCAATTTGGAATTGTGTAAATGAACGAAATCGTATTTTTGCTCTGCCAACCAATGCCTTTAGTGAAAGATCGTTTTCAGCTTTAAAGCGGGTGAAGACGTATTTGCGCTCAACAACGGGAGACTCTACACTGAACCACCTCATGATGTTGCATGTTCACAAGGACAGAACAGATGCTCTGACCCTTCACTTGTAGACGTAGCTAATGACTTCGTTGGGGAGAAAGAAAACCGACAGTAATTGTTTGGCAAATTTTCCGCGAACGATATCCCAAAAAAGTTCTCTATTTCGTCAAAGTCAACACAAAAGGAAAATTAGAGACAAGAACAAAAGGTATTATAGACAAATGTAGTGATCTGACATGTACCAAGAAGTATGCTTTAACCGAGGGGCCGAAGCGGGGGGGGGTGAGTTAATGTGGGCCTCTCGCTCAGCCCCCCCGGTCATTTTGTGCTTGCTACGGGCCTGGTCCCTTAACACAATAGTTACCAAGAAGGTTTGTACTGTTTTTGTGTAGTTGTACAGGTTCAAGTGGAGGTCTTGCTCTTTGCTACCCAATTTTGAAAGACGGCACAATTTTTGAGACTTTGTAAACATCCAGAATGAAAACCCAAAACACACACCAATTGTATTATTTGTGTAAAAACAGAAAGCATGAAATTCTTTATCTAGAATGTTTATAATTCTGTTTTATGGAAGATGTGAGACGAAAGCACACTTACCACATTTTAAGTAGATATAAGCTTATTATGTTTGAGTTTGATTTTTCAATCTTACAAGCTCATCAAGTATTGCAGCCGTTACTACTGGCATGCACTCACTACCCTGCCAGCACCTCCCATTCAATCGAATGCACTCCCCTGATTTCCAATTATTATTACTAGTTTACATAAATTACTGATCTATTTAATACGTACATTACCTGTGACATTTCTTATATTTTATTCAAATCCACACTTCCTTGAATATTAAAGTAGAGGAAAATAAGAACCTGATGGATGGAGTTCTGACAAGATCATAAAATTTCAAACCAGTGCCGTGCATTTTGTTATGTGTTGCATGAAGTTCAACGGTAATTTGTTGCGTTGTACTTGATTTGATTTTATGTGTCAGTGTAAGCTTTAAAGATGCTAGACGTGTATGTGAAGATGGTTTTGTCTCTGTGTGGGATTACCTTGTTTGTAACATTTAAGTCTTTAGTCATTCTAATGAACTTCAATGCCCATTTCTATGCAGCTTCAAGAACGATTGAACAGACTTGGTGTTTGTCTATCCCATGGCAGACGAAATGGTTTGCTTTTACCGCCCCACCCATTTTTTTTTAAGGGAAAAGCCCTGGGGACGAGGTTGAACCTTTCAAGTTTATTTGTTGCATTGGGTGGTGGTAAAACGCACAGCATCGCTATTCAACTCGTTTTGCAGCAATGTTGCAAAACAAGCTGGACGTTTTTTGTTGCCCGTTTTACTGAACCTTAAATAACAAGTCAATGAAGCCCTAATTTGCACAAGAAAGCAAAACCCTGAAGGATTTTGGTCGTAGCAGTAAAATGACGTCATAGATGAGAATCGCTTATTACTACCCTTTGAGCAGAACTTTCTTTTGTCTTCTTCTCACCTGGAAGACAAGCCGCCACCTGTTTTGAGAAAGCATATGATAGTGAAAAATTGAGTAAAACGAAATCACTTCGAAGTTAAAATGAAAACAAAGGACTGAGAGTAATCTACGACCAGCCGTCCCCATCATCTGAACGCCTGGAACGGACTACCGGGCGTTCATCTTCTTTTTTTCTGCTTTTTTCTTCCTAGAAAGCCAAAACGTGCGCGAGTTTTTCCTTTTCCAATCACCTTTCGAAGAGCAAGGGAAGAATGACCGCCTTATCGCAGGTTAGTCTATAACAGAGGGAATGGAAATAGAATACAGTGACCTAAGCAAAAGGCCAGCTAAATTCTAAGATTTGCCAGTTTCTCGCAATTAACCGTGAGCAAAGAAAGAGACTGTAACTGATTTAGTCACCGTTTTATGACAATCAAATGTCTTTCAAGTATTATAATTGAAAGTCGCAAACAACAGAAACCCCAATCAGCGTAACTGCAATCCGTTTTAATTTTCAATTTTCTGCATACGCGAAATGCAGAAGGCGCCGTTCTGTTCAGGTGAGTAAACTGTTCATGGCTAATATTTACGATGTTTACTGCGCAGCAAAACTAGTGCTGTTCACAGGGGCGGATCCAGTATTTTTTTTTTTTTTTGCCCTCTTGTATATCAAGAGTCAAGAAGCAAAGAGTGGAATAGGAAACCAGAAAAATTTTACGCGGGTTTTTCCAAGATCAGATGTTTGGAAAGCGAAGATTTCTCATAACTTCTTCGCCGAAGAAAGCCGTCCACCGTTATCCTAGACGAAGTTAATTCTTTGCTTGATATATCTGTGCTGAATTCGTCGAAACAAGCGATGGAATAGCGGTTTAAGCGCGCCCAATAGGATTTGCGAGGAACTCTTTGCAAGATTTTAGGCAGTGAATTACAGTCTTCGAACGAGGACTTGCAATATGTTTGCAAAAGAAAATAAGAGAGAGGCAGAGAAGCGAAGTGGCCGCGATTCGGACTTCGAACGCCACGTCTGAGCGGAATCATGACACCGTTACATCCGCATCGTCTTTTGCCTCGGTTTATCGTATTCTTTGTTTTTCGCAAGTTCCCTCACTGCTTATACGTGCGTTATTCAGTTTGATTAAATTGTTCTTGTGAAGTTATAATTTTTTAGGTGGGGTATTTGATTTCTATGACGGTAAAATGGCTTCTTTGATGACAAGCTTGAACTCCAGACTAGAGAAACAGCAAAGCAGGATTTTTATTGGGGAGACCTCAGCGATCCTTTACCTTGCTGAATAAAACAAACACAAATTATGAAGATTAAGACAGTTAAGAAAACGGATCACTACAAGACCGGGTGTAAAAATAATAATAATAAAAAAGGTGAACTCCCACTTTGCAGATTGGTCAATAGCTGTCTAACCCCACGTGGCCTCCACATGTATATTCTTCTACGAACAGAATTAAATGTAATACATGGACAACGAATAACAGAAACGATTCGTCAGTTCATGTAGGCGAATCGATTTGCATGAGTGTAGGCGAATCAACTTGTAGGCGAATCGACTTGTAGGCGAACCGACCCTGCGGTTTCCGTCCTTTGGGACGCGAGTGTATCTACAATGTTCGCTCATTGCCAAAAAAATTCCATCGATTTTTAAAGTAATTTGTACAAGAAATTTGAAGTACTCCTTCTGAATGGAAAGCCTATCCTTGAAACGGTGCCGAAGACTATATCGTGTTCTGATCGTGTAAGATTCCATCCAGGGCAATACCCCGGGGGAATACCATGAAATTGAGATGAGGATGCTCGTTGGAAATTAGCATAAAACCCAAAAGCAGGCTGACTCATACTTAAACACCGTTTAACAGCCATTGTTTAGATAAAGATATTTCTTTACGCACAACTATAGGCGCTACCCCTATGGTTAAAAATATTGAACACTCAAAACGTACAACTTCTTCCCCTATGAAAGGCGACGAACATTCCTGTGACTTTCAAAGGGGATTCCCCCTTGTTCCCCAACCTTGCGGGCCAAGCCTCGCAGCAAGGTGGTGTCAAGGGCAGAGAGCTAGAATTAGAAATTTCCCTTTTAGCGATTGCAAACTATAAAAACCTTTTAAGAATTACTATATGGGCAGAAGAGTTTTTTCACAGAGGTGTGGACCAGAATCCGTTGTCCACAGTCCGCAGTCCACACTCATTATGTTGTTCGGTTTGATGCTTCTTATATAATGTAGTTGGAGAACCGCTGACCGGATCTGTCAAATTTCTTCTTTCGCGCGTTGTGATCGCAATGTTTTGGAAAGCAAAAATATCGTTTTCCCTCGTCAAGAACATCGTTTTTCCTTGTCTTCAAAATATGGAACTGGTATGGACTCAGAAATGACGCAAGATATTTTATTTGAAAGTGAACAGAAATATTTCTCGAGGCTCAAACATGCTGACACAGTTGCGCTCATTGGGGTCGGTACTGAAAGATATTCCACAGTTCTTTGTTCAAGTAAGTAATTTTGATATAACTTGCTAAAGTTTCGCTTTGACTTCCCCAATTTTTACCTTGTCCACCACTCGCAACTGGACACGGATGACGTATAAAAACAAAAGATCTCTTTGGTCTTCTTTGTTTTCTGAGGAAAAAATGTGCTTGGTATTATTTCATGTTTTTTTTCCTTTTGTTTTTAATATGTCATCTGTGTCCGATACACGAAGTAAGTGCCGATGTTTTCCTTCTCCCTGTACAGTTAACCTTATTACCAGTTAACTTATTTAAAAATGCATTGTTCTTTTAAGTACTGAATATTTTTATGCAGTCCAACACCTAATTTCCTGGCTGAACTTGATTCACTCAATTCCTCAGCCTAATGCACTTACCAGTGGGCATCCCAGGGGCTCGCCCCCAGGGAACCCCGGTACCCCTCTGTTGTCCCCTGTTGGGGGGAGGGTGGGGTAACAGTTGGTTCCAAGACTTCAGATGAAGCCTCCTGTCAAGGGACTTCCCGATTGTAGTGAATTTTTTCTTTACTTCTTTTTATTTGGGCGTCACCCAAATAGAGTAATCGAGTTTGTTTGTTTTGACTCAAAGTTGCAATAGGCACACAGTATGTGCGAACATAAACACTCCAAGTAAACAAGCCAAGCGACAAGAATGTCTGCCGCGCACTGCATCACAACACAACATTTATCTTCGTTAGATACGACCCAGAGATAACTCACGGCAAACAAATCGGCAATAGAAAACAAACCTTTTTGGAAAAACAAGGTACACTGAGTGAAACAAACTTTCAATTAATATTGAAAATCAATTTAACAAAATGCTCAGACGCGAAAATTATTCTGATGCTGATTTCTCTCTCCTACATTTTAATATTCGTAGTCTTCCTCATATTTTAGTAAAGCTGACTGACTATCTATCATGCTTAAACAAAAAATTTTCTGTAATTGGAATTTCTGAGACCTGGCTAAAAGATTCTTCTCATTCGGTCGATATTAGTGGTTTCAAATATCTTCACAAGTATAGGCAAAATAGAACTGGAGTTGGGGTAGGTCTTTATGTTTCAAACGATCTATAGTTCAAGCTTCGAGAAGATTTGTCCCTCCATAATGCTGATATTGTAGAATCGCTGTTCATTGAATAAATAAGACCTCGAGAAAAAAATACAATTGTTGGTATTGTTTACAGACCGCCAAATCACAGACTCGATGATTTCTTGTCTACAAACAATGAGTTGTTAGGTAATATCTCTAGAGAAAACAAAATAAGCTTCGTAATGGGGGACTTCCTCTCAAGCCAATTCCTAGATGGAATGTACTCTAATGTGTTTTTTCCTTTGATGACACGTCCTTTTGCGACCAACTTTTTTGAACGTTTGAGAATTACTTCACATACTTAAAGCTTGTTAATAGATATTTTTGCGAACAACTTTTTTTTTTTCCGTTTGAGAAGTTGTTGATTGGTCTTTGATTAAAAAGTTGTTGATTGGTCTTGTGATGAGCCAGATATTGTGTACGAACGCTTTCATGAAATGTGTACAAAGATTTATAATGATTGCTTCCCTCTCAAGAAGGCAACTAGAAAGCAGAGGCGCTTTAAAAAATGGTGGTTAACAAAAGCTCTTCTTAAATCCATTAAAACAAAGAATAAACTTTACAAAAAATATCTTCAAGTTCCAAAAGTCAACAATTCTTCACTCTACAAAAGATACAAGAACAAATTGAAGCACACCTTGCGTTTGGCTAAGCATCGGTATTATGAAAAGAAATTGGAAGATGCTAAATCAAATACACATGCGATCTGGAAATTTTTAAATAAGTCTTAAATAGAAGGAAAGCCAAGGCCTCAATCAATAAAATACAATATTTAAGTCAGATGGTCAGGAGATTTCTGATCCTGTGGAAGTAGCAAATAGGTTTTGCAGCTACTTCTCTAGTATTGATCCCAACCTCGCAAGGAAGATACGGCCTCCTCCCTCTTCACATAAAGATTTTCTATCTGGATCGTTTCGAGAATCAATCTTTTTTAGCCCAACAACAGAGGTTGAAATTATTACCATTGCTCAATCTTTTGCTTCCGGGAAAGCGGCTGGATTTTATAATATTCCAATGTCTATATAATTAGGGAATCCATTCAAATCATTTTGGGACCTCTGGCTCACATTATAAATTTATCGATCGCACATGGCGTTGTACCAGATCAAATGAAAATAGCTTGTGTGGTACCACTGTTTAAAGCTGATGACCAGTCACTATTCACCAACTATAGGCCTGTCTTGGTTCTACCAAGCTTTTCAAAATTTCTAGAGAGAATCATCTATAATCGCTTGTATGATTATTTAACTAATTTGCATAATTATTCTCTGTAATAACCAGTTCTGCTTCAGGAAAAACCACTCTACAACACTTGCTTGATTGATGTGCATGAAAAAATTTCATCTGCTATTGATTGTGGTGAATTAGCGGTTGGTGTCTTTTCAGATCTCTCGAAAGCTTTCGATACAGTCAATCATTCCATCTTATTTGATAAACTTGAACACTATGGTATATGCGGCTTGGCTCTGAAATGGATTAAGAGCTATTTTTCCAACAGACTTCAATTTGTAGAATACAATGTATGTTTCGTCTTGTGCTAATATCATGTGTCGCATTCCCCAAGGTTCAATACTAGGGCTTTTTTTATTCCGCTCTACATCAATGATATAATCAACACGTCAACAATATTACAATTGATATTATTTGCTGATGATACAAACGCATTTGTGTCTCACAAGGATAAAGACTGCCCGACTAATCTACTGAATGCTGCGCTAAATAAGTTGTCAATATGCTTTAGAGCTAACAGGCGTTCATTAAACTTGAAAAAAACCGAATTCATTGTATCTAAACCATGCCAAAAGTGTACAAATCAACCTATTCAACTTTTAATTAATAGCCAAAAAATTGATCAGGTAAAAGAAACAGTTTTCTTGGGAGTAATCATGGATGAAAATTTAAATTGGAAATCTGAAATCTCACATGTCGCCAACCGTAAAAGGGGCAGAGTCCAACGTATTCATGTGCAAACTGTGTTTTCTTTTTAAAACCCTTGGGTTAATTAGATCAAGTTGTATTCTCTCATACACAAACCACGAAGATCCTATCAAGATAAGACTTTTCACAACCACCACTACATTTCAACACATTGTAACTATACTATTCCTTCATAACCAACCTCACTACAACACCTACAGCTGTAATTCACTGTTACCTCCAAAATTAATTATCTTTTAATTGTTACTTCATATTAAATTCTACGAGAAACAAGTTTCACTGGTTAGCAAACTACAGCCACTATCCTACCAATTCACGTCCAGTATAACTCCATGCCTTCCACGTCATGCATCTCAACCAACCCCTAAAATATACAACGCTACTGCACTACTCAGTAAACTCACACACGCCTAGAACATTGACGCCCAAATATGCGCTACCACAGCGTCTTGTTTTACTTAAAATGCCTCTTTTAAAGAGTAGTGCAACTGTAAGGCAAAGTTAAAAGAAATGAGAAAAAAAAAATAGCAATAGCGACGAAATGTTTCTCATCCCTGCCAGCTTCATTTTTTGAGGTAGCCTCTAACCTGTGATGAGTTGGTCTTTATTCCCTTTTTCTTTGGAAGGTGATAGCAGTCATGATCTGAACATTTATCTTATCCAAATATAAAGGTACCTTTGATGGGTGGTTAGATGCTTAGTTAATTTTGCAATTGACCCAGCTGTCAAACTCAGTCAAGATCCACACAAATCACAATTTGGTTTGTCTCAAGGAAAGTTCGAAGTCTGGCCTTGGCCTACACTTGTTTACTGCATGGGATGAAGTTGAGCTTTCTTTGTAAGTCAAGGAGTGGGAAAGGACAGTTGACATTCTCTATACTTCTATCGTTGTTCTCTCTCCCAGCCATTACTGCTAGGTGCATAACAAATCCCAGCTGGGGTCTTTTCCTCAGGGATTCTGCTATAAAATTGCAAACGCAATCCAATCCCTCATCCTGGGCTAAAAATTGACAGCAAATGTCAACAAATCCAGTGGACCATGCCCACATAAGCCCCCAGGGAGCATTTTATTAATTCTTACCTCCTTTTCTTTGGATTGATTGTTATTAGGAAAAAATTGATGTTGGTCATTATTTAGTGGACCTGAAGGGTTAATAATAATATTACTAGTAATAGTTGACACTACAGCTGCCCCTGCTCTGTATGTTGTCGGTCATTACTATTCCTGGTCTTTGTGTAGCTCTTTGAAATAATACATTTTACTGATTCCTAATGAAGATTTTCACACATATTCCATACATATAATGACCTCATTCTTGGTTAATAAGTACATGTAGTATTTAATAATTATAACCATAGGTAAAACTGATAATCTACTTCATGTATGTTTATGACACTCTGAGATACAATACTCCATTTTATTGATCAATGCATTTTTAACAGGTTATAGGTTTTTTATAGGTTGATTCTCAATTTTAATATTATTTATGATCATGAATAGTTATGGTTATAAGCAAATTGGGAATTAACTTACTGGTAGGTTATAAAACCTTTTTTAACCTGAATTTCATTTTGACCTACAACATGTACGAGCCAGTTTTGCCATCATTGTTTTATTTTGTGCCATGTAATAGGTACGGAGGTTGGAGTTTCTTCTGGCAGATGCACTCTGAACAATGAGTGTGACACCATTTTTACATGTGGTGGAGTGCAGTCAAATCATTGTAGAGCCACTGCAATAGCAGCAAGACAGCTTGGCTTGGATTGTTATTTGTTTCTTAGAAACTCTGAACAGGTCAGCTATACTGTATATTTTCTTGCAATTATGTACAAAATGAACACCTTTTTAAATCGGTCCCCTTCACTTGATGCCCTTGCTGTTTGAACCTATCCACATTAGCTCACATATATATTGCTATGGGAACCAGAAAAACATTCCTGGAGCAAGGGTTAAGAACCAATAACAAATTCAATACAATGTGAGGATTTACTTCCACTTTTCCACTTCAAACCTGGGGTACATTCACCTTGTTGGAAGGTGTGTGCTCTCACACTCCCAATTTCTATTCCACCACCCTTGTTTTGCCATCGAATCAGACATTAATTATTTTATTGAACCCATCAACAATAGATGAGCATGGAGAATGGTGCCTGAAGAAGGTGGAGCCACGAGACAGGCAGAGTCGATTGAGCAGTGCATGAGGGGACACAAATTGCCTTAACTGTAAGTATCCTGGAGAGTCCCATACAGTTTACAAAAATCAAGCTTTGTTTTCCCTAAATGTTACACCATATTTTGCCCAAAAAGACGTTAAAAATTTCTCCGTAATAGAAGACTGTTTTGCTAGGGTTAAAAAAGTTTGGCTTTCATGAGTTTCAATACAAAGGTGCAAAGCTTGCAAGAAATTAACAACATAATTACATAGCACACAAACATTGTCATCTAACTCCTCGCACGTAGACGGAATAAGCCAAGTAATGAAGCATATAACGAAAAATCGTCCTCAAATGGTCTCGATAACTAAATTATACTTTTTTTTTGCAAAAGAAACTTTTGTTTGTATCCGTGTTACCCATCGAAAAAGTGAGGAGTTATTGCATAACATTAGGTATAACAGAGGTAATACTCATGGATTTCACAAGTTCTATGCTCTATTTTTCACCAGGAAACAAACTTCAATTCTTACCTTACAGTTGTCGGTCCTTTTACCTTGCTTTCGACAACAAATTAAAGGCGAACAAAGCGATGAAATCCGGCACTCTTCTCTTATAAATAGCAATTAGCCGCACGAGGTAAAGTCCACCAATATGCACTGCATTCTCACTACAAATATAAACAAATGTCGTGGTGAAAAAACAACGAGGAGGAAAGGATGCCAGATCTTCACCTCGGCTCCAGCTAGAAGAAGGTGGACTCAAAGTGGGACAAACATTGTAATTTTTTTAGAAGCCTTTTGCGCGCAAACTAATTTATTCTGTTGCAAAATGAAGATTAAAAAAATGTATACTGAAACCTAATACACAACAAAAAAATTTTCGCACTTTTGAGGAGCGCGACATATTAATGGGATTAAGTCGGATTAGCTGCCCACAAAGAAAACATCTCTGCGTGGGATTGTACATCCAGTAAAAGCAATTTGTGTCCCCTCATGATCCATGATAACCTGTGAGTGGGAACCACCAGGCACTGTCACACTGAAAATCACTGGAGACTAAAAGACTTACCATGCCAAGACTTTCAGGGCGGAAAAACGTTCTGCGCAAGCTTCTGCGCATCCCTTATCGCAGGCTCAAGGCGGGCTTTTCTGTGTGTTGACTGTGTTTGTTTGTTGCTGGAGTTCTGAGTGAAATGCACGAGGTGCGAACGTTTGTTCCCTGTAGAGCATTTTTATTTGACATGTTTGCTTTTTTTACGTCGCTTGAAAATTACTTTGGATTCGGAACAACCAATGTTAAAGGAAAAACGGATCATTCCGTCAGTCTGAGGTGGAATAAAAGGTTTTGAACATTTCTTAAGAGGCGAGTATTTTTCTGATTGTGCATCCGATTAATTTATGAGTTGATTTCGCCGGGTTGAATTAGAACCCGCTTGTATTCTGTTATTAGTAGTTACGGTTACTTTTTTACATGCCCAGATTTATTACCTTTGCAGAACCAGCTTTATCTTTGTCTTCAGTCAAAGAACCATATTGCTGTTATCACGCATCAACAAACTTGTGCGCTTAAAACTTTCTCGAAAATAGAAGGCCAGCAAACTCAAGATCATTTTTCTGTTGCTCAAGTAATAATAGTTGGAGTTTTTTCATTTTTCATTACATAGTTTTGTTTTCCAGTGCACTGCGAAAGTTTCTGTTCTTTATGAGAATAACTTTCTGTACGCAAATTGTCCTTTTCACTCGCTGTGAAGTAGAGAACGACAACTGCCAGCAGTAACTTCAAAACAATTGACTCTTTTCCCGTAAACAATTGCTGCAGCTTGATTTGACTGAGGCGAGCAAAACAAACCCTTATGTGCAAATCTTCTGTATTTTCTAATGATCGGCTGAGTTTAATTTGCTTAAACGAAGACCCTTGTATTGATAATAGCTAAATGGTGAATCATGGCTTGGCTGCCAAGTTGCAACTGATCTTTTGCTTTTACGATCTTTAGGTGGGTTGTTTTCGCACAGAAAATTCATTTCTTCATTGTCAGCAACAAGTTTTTGAAATAATGTAACTTTAATTTTATTTGAAGGAGATCCTTCTTACGCGTAGGTTTTTGACAGATGTTATGCGTGTTCAACTTGACAACACAAAGCAAAATTTATATATCTGCGCGAAACGAGCAAGTTTAAAAAACTATAGTTGCTTTGAAACCGATTTTTGGGAATATTTTACCAGATAAAGATTGACCTTCTTTCTGCTCACATATCAACGCAATAACTTCTACATTGAGGATTTTGTTTATATTTTAGTGATCCAAACCTCGAGCGAGGGTTTTAAAATATTCGCTCGAGTGCGACAAAGTTCAGTGACTTCAAACACATTGTGGGCAAGCGTTAATTTTTTTTTGGGCAAATCACTGTCCAAAGATATATTGTTTTTGTGTCCACAGTAGAGCTCCGGACCTTATATATCCAAAACTATATGAACACATTTTGTGAATGCATCTTGAAAAAATGGGACCTACGCACGCACATTTCCAGTACAACGCAAGGAAATTAATGTCGTTAAAGTCCGTTTTACTATGAGGTATTCTTCGAGAAAATTAAGTAACCACAAGGTTATAACCACAGCTTGCAACTTTTGAAGACAAATTTCCTGTTCTTTCCAGGTTATGAGTGGAAACATTTTATTTTGAGACAAGAAAATATTTGAAATCCCGCCATTTTTTCAAACCCGGCCAGGGGATCTGGGCAAAAAAGTTCACGCATGCTCATTACGTTTTTCCGCCCTGAAGCCAAGACTGGGATTGGCAGGGAAGGGGTAAACTCAATGAAAACTGCCCAGCAGTGAAAAACAAACTCGTAGAATGACATCAAAAGCCAGGCTGTTAATACATGTATGTGAACCCCTGCACGCAACCCCTGGCCACCCCACATACTGATCCATGGGGGAAAACTGCTGGCCAGCATTGTTTTGTGTTTAACTTAGCCTACCCAATTACATTTAGCCACATTTAAAAGATTTATAATTTCCCATTCCTCTACATGGAAGCCACCTCAGAACTACCACAATACACAACAGCAATCTACTGCACCAAATATTGTGCCTTGAGTGGGTTGAATTCATTTTTTGTTATGTGTTTCGCTAGGAGCAAGTATTCTAGCACTGTCAACTGGAGCGCACTTTTCGAAACACCCACTGTTGGTTGCTTCCCTCGCTGTTTTCAGTCATTTTCTGCAATTAAGCTCCCCAAATGTGACGGACACACCTTTCCTTAAAGTTCAGAAAGTTGGTCCTGATTCCCACTGTGTTTATCTGCGAGAGTTAAGTAAATTTCAACTTCTGTTAAATTTTAAACTATTAGCACCCTCTTGGGAGCTAGTAAACTGTAGAACATTTCGTTGATTCTTGTTCATGTTGATGCAGTCTACAGATATTGGATGTAAAGAAATCTTTTTCATAAAAACAAATGGTTGGAAGCCATGTTGTTGTTCCAAAACTTCAATATAAATCAGGCCTGAAAGAGATGATGGAGAAAATGGCAGAAAAATTGTAAGTGGCTTTAATGACTTAAAAAGACTACAAAAACCATTTTTTAGCTGGAAAATTTATATAATGATAAACATTGCATAGTGAGATAATTAAGGCACTAATCTGGCAAAAGATCAGAAAACCCTATACACTAGCTCTTATAACTGGCCACCCACAAATTGTAAACTGAAGGTTTTTTTGTCCCACCACCCCAAGAGAAATAATTTTGATTTCTATTATTTCCTTTTTTGCTAAGTATGCTGGAGCCAGTGAATATACCTATAATTATAATTATGTAACTGATTCCCCTGGCCAACTCAAAATCTGCTTAAAACCATATAGCAGTTGCAGTACTGTATTAATTGTTAATCTTATTTATTTTGTCAGAAAGCAGCAGGGATCCTCAGTATATTTGATAGAGATAGGTGGTTCATCTTACACAGGGATGGTTGGTTACTTGACTGCATTTCAAGAGATGATGAAAAAGGTACACTGTATGAACTATATGGGATATTTGACATGCATTTTGTAGGTTAAAAGAATATTCAGGTTAATAAAATCTACCCTGGTTAAAGAATTTGGGTAGATTTATTTCCTTTGTCTCATTACACTATACATGTAATATTATTCACGAACTGAGCTTAATAGGAGGCAAAGGAAATTGAGTGAAGTTGGTTTCAAAAACTGAATTTAATTTTGTCTATAATTACATATTCTATGTAGCTATTCATAAAAAGATTTTTAAGGTCCTAAGTGACTTTTCATCTCAATATTATTTATTTTAAGCAAATAAAACAAAGGCAATTTGAAAAGAAAATATACATTTACATTGTAGCACTGATCAGAATTCCCTTGACAGAAATTGTTTTTCAGGAAGCATCTTAAGTGTCAAAGTTTCTCTGTGGTCAACCTGTTGCTTTGTATGGCATTCAGTTATATTTAGTAATGGTGACTTGAGATGAATTTAAGAGCAAATTTTAAGGATTAATTGCAAAGCAAATGGAGCTTTGAAGTGAAAAAATATCATCTGTCAGCAGAAGGAGTTACTGTACACCACTTCATTTAACAAGCGTGGTTGTTTATAGTGTGCTAAATGCTACTTCTCATCTTTTCGGTCAAGGGTACCTGTATTTAACAGATGCCCAAATTATTAAGAAGGTGCTAGTGGGGCCAGTACCAAGGGCATCTACTTAGTAAAGTGTGCCATGTTCTTTTAAGGGAAATATAAATTAAGAGATGATCATGCAATCCAGGTCCATATATTTCTTAGCCTCTCATGCAGATGTTCTTTGGGGTTTGTCACACATTCCACTGACAACGTTAGTGGGGCAGGAATGTGTGACAAACCCCTAAGAATGTCTGGATGGGAGGCTATATATTTTTTAGATTATTTTGTTATTTTGTTAAGTAGTTGTAATTTGTTAGACCTTAGTAGTTTTAATTTATTGTTTGGATGTTTTTCATATTTATTCAGATGTGTTGGAAGATTATGATGATATTGTAGTTACTGTTGGCAGTGGAGGAACAGCATCAGGAATTGCTATTGGCAATTACATGACTAGCTCAAAACTCAAGTAAGGCTCCAGTTTGCATTTAAATAATAGTTATTTCGGACCAACCATGCAGTTGCTTGTTTAAAAGAGATATTTGCACTTTGCTAAAAATGTGTTTAACAAAATAAAATGTGCTAGACTGACCAGTTCAGTTTTCTATGGATTGTGATTCATGCAGAAAAAAAATTGCCAATATTCCTTTAGTTTTTCCTCTGTTTTGGAATAATTTATTTTAAAGGTTGATATACAGGTAGCCTTCAAAGGCAAAATTGCTTCCTGATTCCCACCTGTTTTCACTAACAGAGTGGTTTTCCTGGCAAAGCAAAGTAATCTACTGTAAAAGTACAAAATGAAAACAGAATATAATAGAAAAAATGACTGAAGCAAATGTTTTAATTTTTTTGGGCATAATAGTGTAATAAACCTTTTCTCCCTGAGGTTCCTCCTTAGACTACGTGGTAAAAAATAAACAACAACAACAACAGCAACAAACAAGCAAAAAAATCACTGGCCTTTAAGCAGTAGTTAAGGCACTTACTAGTCAGTCAAAAAGAAAAAAAAAAGAAGAAAAGCAAACAGATGTAAATCATCCAAACTGTCCCCGGCTATTACAATTCAAAAGCTATGTTGGCTTTTCTTTCTGCTTAATTTCTTCTGTTCTTTTGTTAGGAAAAGTGAAATATTGTATCTTCATGGCTCAGTCAGTCAGATTTGCATAATTTTGTGGATGTTGTGCAAAGGTTAAAGAGATTTACTGCTTATTAAGGAATTATTCTTGAGTATACGGTTGATAGTTTTAATTGGCTGGACTTTCACTGGAGGGGGTTACTCTCAATAATGGTCTATTTTGGGAGGCTCCCCCCAAAGGGGTACCATTTTTTGGCTTCAGGTACATGAAAAGGTGGAAATTTCAAGTATACGAAAGAGTAGGGAAACCTGTGATTTCGGTCTGTTACTAAGGCCCAAAAAGGCTGACATACGCATCATATGATTATTTTTATCGCTGTGAAATAGTTGAGAAAATGTTATGGTTTTGTGATTCATTCATTCAAAATTCAAAGTGAATTTACAACAGCTATATTAGGGATGCAAAGTTCTAAGCTTAACAGGTATGTGGAAGGGGTACACGAAAGAGACACCTTTTCTGTCAAAAATGTGGTAGTATAATTATAAATGGGAAAGGGATTGCACCTTCAGCAAAGCCTACAGAATGTAGTCCCTGTATATAACTTGGTAAAAAAATTGAAACTGTGAAAAATTTTGCTTTTTTTCAACTTTCTAGATGCCTTGCGCATACAGTCAATGTGTCTGACAATGCAGCTTATTTTTACAATAAAATCAATGAAGACCTTAGAATTGGGGGAATTGATGTCAAAGCAGAAGATATTATAGATATTATTGATGGCTACAAAGGGGGAGGATATGGTGTGTCAACTCAACATGAACTAGGTGGGTAGGACTAGGGAAATTTATGTCAAAGCAGAAGATATTATAGATATTATTGATGGCTACAAAGGGGGAGGATATGGTGTGTCAACTCAACATGAACTAGGTGGGTAGGACTAGGGAAATTTATGTCAAAGCAGAAGATATTATAGATATTATTGATGGCTACAAAGGGGGAGGATATGGTGTGTCAACTCAACATGAACTAGGTGGGTAGGACTAGGGAAATTTATGTCAAAGCAGAAGATATTATATATATTATTGATGGCTACAAAGGGGGAGGATAAGGTGTGTCAACTCAACATGAACTAGGTGGGTAGGACTGGGGGAATTGATGTCAAAGCAGAAGATATTATAGATATTATTGATGGCTACAAAGGGGGAGGATATGGTGTGTCAACTCAACATGAACTAGGTTGGTAGGACTAAGGAAATTTATGTCGAAGCAGAAGATATTATAGATATTATTGATGGCTACAAAGGGGGAGGATATGGTGTGTCAACTCAACATGAACTAGGTGGGTAGGACTGGGGGAATTGATGTCAAAGCAGAAGATATTATAGATATTATTGATGGCTACAAAGGGGGAGGATATGGTGTGTCAGCTCAACATGAACTAGGTGGGTAGGACTGGGGGAATTGATGTCAAAGCAGAAGATATTATAGATATTATTGATGGCTACAAAGGGGGAGGATATGGTGTGTCAACTCAACATGAACTAGGTGGGTAGGACTGGGGGAATTTATGTCAAAGCAGAAGATATTATAGATATTATTGATGGCTACAAAGGGGGAGGATATGGTGTGTCAACTCAACATGAACTAGGTGGGTAGGACTGGGTGAATTGATGTCAAAGCTGAAGATATTATAGATATTATTGATGGCTACAAAGGGGGAGGATATGGTGTGTCAACTCAACATGAACTAGGTGGGTAGGACTGGGTGAATTGATGTCAAAGCAGAAGATATTATAGATATTATTGATGGCTACAAAGGAGGAGGATATAACTTGTTAACTCAACATGAGCTAGGTGGGTACACCCTTGTAGGACTGGGGTAATTGTTTTTCAAACAGATGATATTATTGGTGGATGAAAAGGAGTGCGAGGACGTGTGTCGCAACTGCTCATTGAGAAAACAATTAACAAACACAGTTTATAACAATGAAGCCTAGCCCCAAAACAAAAGAGCTGCAACATGTAGGGGTACAACAAAATTTTATGTTTAATCAATGTGAAGGAGGTGGGTATTTGAGGGGGGAGGTGGTGTCCACTTGTGTATACTGTTAAAGTTGCTTACTATAATTTAATTGTAAACACATGAAGTATTCTACCTGGCAACTTCCAAACCTTCCCCCACTACCCCCAACTCTTCTCATAGGTTGGCCACTGAATTTAATTCGAAAACGTGTGCAATCTTCGTGGCTTCTTCAATTCACATGACATACAATACAACTACTTCCAGCTAAGTATAAGTTGGTACCATTGCACAATCTATGACGTCAGAGGGTAATATTACTGAAATCACTGCAGGGAAGGGGGAATACAGCTCTACATGCTGAGAATTGACTGAGTCATCATAAAAATAGCACTTTTTTGAACTGGTTGAGTCGTTTGGTGTGACTCGACAAGTGGTGTTCATTGCTTTTATTTTGACTTACCGGTATTTTATTTTGTTATCAAATTGCAGGGAACATTATTCAGATTTCAAGAACAGCTGGAATATTGGTGGATCCAGTATACAATATAAAGGCGATCAGAAGAATGCTAACAGAGATGACAAATAATCTTGGAAGATTGAAAGGAAGAAGAATACTCTACATCCATACAGGTACAATTTTTCATCACTATATACATCTTCCTCCGTCTGACATAGTGTTTAATTCAGCTTTTCTGTCACTGATAAAGAGCCTGCCAAATGCTTCGCAAAACACAAACTATTTGCTCGTTGGCAGTCTTAGAATTGAAGTTACAAAATGATCATAGTTAGACTGGAGAGGCCTTCAGATACTTATAAGTGTCGTAGTCTTTTAGTCTGTTTTTAGATTTTTTATCGCACGATGTTGGCTGTGTTCACAAACCTGCGCAATCCAACATGGCAGTTGACCTCTAAGACAGAGTTTCCTTGAATTGGCCTTCACAGCGTTTTCCAAGATTCACACTTGCCATTGCTCTCCTCTGATTGGTTCAGAATATTTTGGCGAGAAAAATAAATCTATAAATCAGAGCGGATAAAGGCAGGATGGAGCATTGAACACATCCAAACTGAACTCAACTTTAAGGTGATGTTACACGGGACGATTCGCAACGACGATTTTTAGCGCAACACAGAGTTGCAATGCTGGAACAATATTGCAACGCTGTGTGGCGCTAAAAATCGTCTTTGCTAATCGTCTCAAATAAGCATTTACGAATGACAAGTTTGACTTTCACAGGTGCAGACATAAACATGTAAAACTGCGTGTTAATACTGTCATAAAATTGGTTTACATAGTCCACACTGTTGGATAAAATTACAATAAGAAAATAGGATTTCCGTTTTGTAGAAAAAAAACAATTTAACCCGCCTTCGAACACACTGGAAGCGCGGGAAGAGCGCTGGAGCCAGTCCTACTCCGTATCACACATCGCTTGAAGAGCGGAGTGTTCGTTTCGTCATCTAACTATTATTCGACTTGCTGTAAATAGCCTGAAAATCTACCACACTATGACCCAGGCCTTATTAGAGAGGTTAAGCATCACGTTTACGTCAAACGGCAAACGCGAATTTGTACCACGTGACCAAGTTTCCCCTTTACTTGTCATTTACTGTTCATTATTTTTAGACATGAATTAGTAGTTTCACGAAATGTTTATCCATAAGAATTGTTTTGAGTTGTTTTTATCTGCTCATTTTCTATTTTCAGAAATTGTCAACTTGAATCTGACGTTTGCCGTTTGCCGTATACGTGAATCTTATCTCTGTATCATGTATGACAGATATACGTCCCCGGTTGATTGGCTGAAGTTAATGATACCACTTTTCCTTTTAGGTGTAGTGTTTCGTTTGTATGATGGCAGAATGGATTCCTTGATCACAGGCTTGTAGCCTGCGGAAGGAATAAAGCAAGTTTCTTATTGGGGAGACATCAATGATCCTCTGCGTTTTAACAGTAAAATAAAAATAAATAATAAAGTAACAAGAAGTAGAAGAGAGTAAACGCAAAAATGGAAACCGATGACCTCCCCCTCTCCAACTTGTCCCTTCGGAGCGAGAGAGAGACGGTTAAGAGGGTCCCCAATAGCCGGGTTTTTCCGGATGCAGGATTTGCCTCATTTGAATACCGAGATTCGGTATATTAAAGCAAAATGGCGGCGAAATTCGGGCGTACAAGGGATACGGGATTGCCGAAAAAAACCATCGGGATTGTTGGAAAGAGCGAAAATTAAGGATGGGGTCATGGGATCGGAGGATAGTATTAAAGACCCTCGGTTACCTATTAAATTAAATGTTTATTTCATGTCCCAATGAGAGCATAGTGAAATGCTCTAATTATTTGAACATTAATATCACAAAGTCTTTTCAGTCATGCGCTTTGAAAGCCAGTGCCTGAAAAAACTTACCTCTCCTCAACGGTTGCCCTGGAGCCAGAGGTGAATGACTGTCTTTGAGAGGTAAAAGCAAAAATGTGGCATGGGGTGCACGAACAGAATGAATGGACTGTCCGCCGCCGGGACAAGAAAAACTGGCTGTTGCCCAGAGATGGTCGTTAGATGACGTTAGACTGTGTAAAAAGTAAATTTAAGTATGACAATTTTAAAAGTTGGGATGCGTTATGTTGGCTGCGTGATAGTGATTGCCGCGTGCATAGAGATTTGCTTGCATGAATAAATGAATGAATGAACTTTATTTAAGTGTCAGAGTATTTAGGTATATATTTGCTAATTGTGGACACTAAAAGAACATTCCAAATACAAAATTTAAAACAATTACAACAGGGATGCTACGAGTGTCAATCATTTTGAAAACAGGAAAGGTTCAGAATAAAAATCTACAAACATCTGCATTACTCACAAATTTAATATCGCCTAGTTCCAAGAAAAACTGATATTTGAAATATTCACGAAATGATAATTATTTAGTTAAAAAGTGATAAAATTCCATTGCAAACGTGGTTAAGTGATACATAAGTTACAATTTGTGCACGTGCCCTCAATAAAAGAAGTCAAGTCTTTCTTCCTGATGTTCCATCTAAAATTCTCCAGCGAGGGTCGCTGATCACTTGAGGATAGTCTGGACCAAAAGTATGGGCCCAGGTAGCTAATAGAGTGTTTTCCATATCTTACTGTTCAGTAGCGAGGTACCGGTATATCAAAATCTTCATTTCTTAGAGAGTACCCTTTGTTTGCAAAATTGAAAAGTTCCCCTATGTAAACAGGGCCCAAACCATTTCTAAATTAAACCTGAGATCAAAGTGATTTTGCCGACTGAAAGTCAACTTATTGTCAATAATTAGAGAAAATTATGGAAAAAAAGAATTATTTTACCTCGTATCGACGATTTGATATAACCCAGTATCAATGATTTGGGAAAATTTTGGAAAGAAAAATTTGTACCCGGTATCAGACAAGAACTCAAGGCAGCGATTCTGGTAATTTGATTTCTCTGTCAGTGCCTACTATTAATAATTATTTCTATTTATCACTTTCTATCCTTTTTATATAAAATTGTAAGTAAGACTGCACTGTTTTTCTTTCTCCACTACATGTAGTTTTTGTTGTTAATGTTTACGCCCAAGGCACCGAACGTCAATTTTGGAAACTATCTGTTCGGAAGACGATTTGAGATCTACAACTGGCGACAAAATGAGTTGAGACACTTCGCCCTAAATGGACTTTTTGACGTTTTCCGGACTTCAAAAGGGGAAAAGATAGCGTTTCCTCCCCCATCCCCTCCATGCAATGTTGTGCCACTGTTCGAGCTACCTTTAGAAAACAAGAAACATCCCAACTTTGAATGGAGGGGACAGGGGAGGGGTGTGGATTCTTATGCTTCAGAAGTTACCCTATTTGAGTACAATGTCTCAACAATTTTGTCGCCGATTGTAGAATTTTCGGATTATTTGTTGTAAAGTTTCTTGCTTGGCTATCTCTCCCAGGATTTTCGAACATCTAAAAAACGGTATAAAAATGTCACCTAGAATTTTCCGGAGCCTTTTTTCTGGATGAAATTTTCGAAAAGGTAAGTTTTGATCCCTATAATTTTCGGATCACTAGACTTTAAGCTAGGAAATCCGAACAGATGAAAAATTTTTAGGGGATAAAAATATGCCTATATCTACCGTTTAAATACTAAAATACGTTTAACAATGCAATGTTTAAGTGGTTTTGACCTATACTCTCGTTAGGTGCCCCTGTACTTTGGTTACTCTTTACCAGTTATGTTTTCCCTTTTTTCCTGTTCTTGCAATTTGTAATGTAGTAGAAACATCTTGTAATAGTGCAAAAATAAAACAATCAGAATCTGATTCTTTAAGGAATCTCTACTGTTTTAGCAAATTGATGTCCACTTGTCAGGATAATCAGTTCTTGTCCTCTCTTCAGGGGCAGCCAGCGAGCGAATGTTTCTAAACACGTTAGAGGTGCCTCATATGGTTTTCTCTGCAGAAACATGGTTGGTTGCAGCTGTCCTAGAAAGTCTAGAAACTCTATTAATATCTGTTTTGATTTTGTAGGGGAACTTTGGTGGGGAAGTTTTACTGTGTCATCTTCATCTCCCCTGAAACTGTTAGCTACCCTGATGGGTCTGGTCGAGAGTTCGAGGACATGCATGGAGTAGCCTTTCTTTCTTTTTAATTGGCAGAATAGAAATCCCAATGGCGTATCATTCCATAGTTACGTACCTACACCACCCGATCGCATGTATTCACAAATTCTCCCATTAAGGGCCTGTTTACATGAAGGTGGGGGACCCCAGGTAGGTGAGGTAACCCCGTGGGTTAACCCGCCTGTCCGTTAATCGCTCATTTTTATTACGTGGGGTGACCCGCTACATGTTATCTCACCTATCTGGAATCCCCCACCTCGGGAGCCCATTAAATGGAGCCTCCATCTCCCATACAAGCCCTTGGAGTCAACCCTTTCCCGAGTAGATTTATAATTAGAACGGTTCCCAGGGGAGACTTCGCGCGCCGACGGTGGGAAGAGCCAATCACCACGACGTAATGACACTGCTATTGTACTTCATCAAACAGCAGGAAATTCGGTGTTGACAGGCCAAACACAATCATAAGCTAGTGAAACGTGACTTTAGCGTTTTCATCCCTCAGAGATTTTCTTTCTTTTCTTTCTAGCAGGTAGATTATACTGTGGAGAGTTTTAAACTCTCACTATGTTAATCTTAATTTTGGTTGCTTGTCTCACATTAAAAGGTCATGAAGCTGGTCTGTTACATGCGTAATGAGTAACTACGACCTGCAGTCTGTAGTTCTGACAGGATTCGTTTTCTTTAGCCAATTTTTTTGAGCGCTAAGGTTCTTATTTCGGCTAAATGACTCAATATTAATCAAATTTCTAGTTTTTCAAGTTTTTTTTTCCGAAATGCGTTTATCTGAATAAGTACTTGTAGTCCTTGTGGTTTTTTTGCCCGTCAGCTAGTGTGATGATTCTCTGCTATGTTTTGTAACGCCGGTCCCAGCCATTGTTTTCTCGCAAAAAAGTGATCTACAGATGCGAATTCGAAGGAAAGAATTGGCCTTAACTTCTACATTAATTGCTGAGAATTGTCTTGTTAGTCAGTCATAATTCCAGTTTGGCGCAGATACAATCCATTTTGTTTTTCTTGAGATAAGAGGGTCTTTGGACTGGAGCCCGATGCCACAAATTCCTCCGTTAGCAAATTATTTTTGAGTTAGCTTCACGGTCGAGCAACTGTTGTCTTCTGTTCAACTTTTCAAGTGCCAGTTTTATTAGGCAATTCTCACGCTAATACAAGTCAGTTGTAAAGGAAGACTGCAATTTCTCAAATTTCGGAACTGAAGCATTCCTCCTTAGTTGTTACTTAGGTCATCGCTTTTGCACGCGGTGCTTAGCTGGCGACATCCACTCCACGGTGATGACAAAAATCAAATGATCCTGGCACTTTTTCGGCGCTGATCATCGAAAAGTTCCAAGTCGTCCACAGAACGCTTAATCGTCGACTCTTTTCGAGGTGCATGTTTAAATGTGGGATGTATGACGGCAAAAAAAAAAAAACTCGCAAAGATAACCTTTCCGTGATCCTCAGTTCGCTGCCTTTGTCCCATCGCTTCATGCTCAGTCAGCGGGTAATTCATTAACTTTTATTTCATGATACCCAGATCCCAGCGGCTGTAAAATTGCAGAAATGGACGTATAGTAAAAAAGGAAAACGGTCGAAGGACGGGCTTCTGAGCTCGACTTCATCCAACTTCATTTTTTTCACGGTGACATACGAGACTCCCGGAAATATGACACTTTTCGCGGGAAACAAGCCGTTCTATTTATAAATCTACTCGGGAAAGGGTTGACTCAAGAAATTAATGGAGATGGAGGCTCTATTTGATGGGCTCCTGCCCACCTTCATCACCGCCTGAAATTCGATTTCATCGTTTAATTCACATCGCTTGACATTTGCAATTCACAATATCATAGCCTGCGTAGCAAGCGTTTCGGTGCGGTTTAGAACGAGAAACGAGAGTCAAAGACCGCATGAAAAATGGCGCAAGTACAGCGCTGCAAGTAGAAGAGCGGGAAGGGGGTAGCATACTGTGAATTTCGACATCGCGTGTCTAACTTTGGTCACGCTACGTCGAGTTTAATTGTTGGCATCTCCAAACTCGTGATCCTTCTACGTCATACGCCCCATTCTTTTCAGAAGTACGCAGTTGCGTCTGCGGAAATTAAAATGGCGTCGGAATCCTCACCTTAGTCGATGTACGTAGAGTCGTCTATTTAGTGCCTTTTCTTCAACAACAGGCATCAGTTTGCACAGGTATTTCACGATTGATCATGATTGGCATGACTGTATCGTTTGTCTAGACTAATTATCTCGTCCTTATCGTTATACAGAATGTATATTTCCATGTTTGT